TCGAGTATCGAATATTTTCCTTAATATCGGTATCGAGTTGAGGAGTTTAGTATCGTGACAACCCTAGTATGTACCCATGTTAAGGTCTAGCCAAACCTTTTTCTCCTCACTTATTGACTCCACTTTAACCCATGATGCTGAAGGTGGAAATTTTTAGAGCTTCTGGAATGCTGACATTTTACTGCTGTCAGACTACAGCTGTGAAAGACAGAGGGCAGATTAACTGACAAATGCTCTTAGAACTCTGAGAATTAAATGCAGTAATTCAGTTTGCTTTTGTGAGCATTCAAGTTGAACAAGATTCCCCATCACCTTGCCCAAGAGCATCTCACTTTGAGCTGAGGAAGAGTGCTGGTGATAATATAAAAAAAAATTATAAAGCTTTTAATTTGACGTAAGAATAGAAAAAAAGGCTATATGAAAAGATGGACCTTTATCTAGTACCATCGGTCCTGTGGTTCCAACCCCCGACACACTATCTGTATGATTAAGTTTCACACCTGTGTTTGGAAAAGGCATCAAGAGCAGGTGCAGGAAAAAGGAGAGACAGACAGCGGGATGAGTTGAAAAAGGAAAATGGTAGCAAAAGATCATTTCATAGTCGTAAGCTACAGTGGGGCCAAAAAGTATTTAGTCAGCTACTGATTGTGCAATTTTTCCTATTTAGAATAATGAGAGAGGTCTGTAATTTTCATCATAGGTACACTTCAACTATGAGAGACGAAATGAGGGAAAAAAAATCCAGGAAATCACATTGTCTGATTTTTAAAGAAGTAATTTGTAAATTATGGTGGAAAATAAGTATTTGGTCAATAACTAAAGTTCAACTCAATACTTTGTAACATATCCTTTGTTAGCAATGACAGAGGTTAAACATTTCCTTTAAGTCTTCACCAGGTTTACACACACTGTAGGTGGTATTTTGGCCCATTCCTCCATGCAGATCTCCTCTAGAGCAGTGATGTTCTGGGGCTGTCACTGGGCAACACAGACTTTCAACTCCCTCCCCAAATGTTCTATGGGGTTAAGGTCTTGAGACTGGTTAGGCCGCTCCAGAAATGCTTTTTACAGATCCACTCCTTTGTTGTCTGGGAGGTGTGTTTGAGATCCTTGTCAAGCTGGAAGAGCCAGCCACGTTTCATCTTCAAGGCTCTTACTGATGGAAGGAGGTTTTGGCTTAGAATCTCACGATACATGGCTCTGTTCATTCTTCCCTCAACACGGATCAGTTTTCCTGTCCCCTTTGCAGAAAAACAGCCCCAAAGCATGATTTGTCCTCCCCCATGCGTGACAGTAGGTATGGTGTTCTTGGGATGTAACTCTGCATTCTTCTTCCTCCTAACACGACGAGTTGGGTTTTTACCAAAAAGTTCTATTTTGGTTACATCTGACCACATGGAATTCTCCCAATCCTCTTCTGGATAATCCATATGCTGTCTGGCAAACTTTAGGCGGGCCTGGACATGTACTGATTTGAGCAGGGGGACACGTCTGGTGCTGCAGGATTTCATTCCCTCTCGGTGTAGTGTGTTACTTATGGTAGCCTTTGTTACTTTGTTCCCAGCTCTCTGCGGGTCATTCATCAGTTCCCTCCGTGTAGTTCTGGGATTTTTGCACACCTTTCTCATGATCATTTTGACCCCATGGGATAAGATCCTACAGTGTGATTTCCTGGATTTTTTTTCTTATTTTGTCTCTCACAGTTGAAGTTTACCTAAGTTAAAAATTACAGACCTCTCTCATTATTCTAAGTAGAAGAACTTGCACAGTCAGTCGCTGACTATATAAAACTTTTTGGCCCCACTGAAATTATGGACATTCATGCTATTAAATATGATTGATTGACTAGACTACTTCGAAATGGTACCCCACAATATTGTGTTTATCAAGTTTGGTAGGTGTTTTAATATAAGGTTCATAGGCTAAGGAGGCCCTTGTTGTATGAGAAGGAGAAGGGCCTCAAAACTGTTCTGGGCACCTGATTAGGGAGCACAGTCCCTCAGGATTCATGATCATAGGCAACAGTAACGTTGCTTTTTTTGTTGTAATTTTTCCTGAGCTGGCTGCTCTCTTCTGTTGCTGTTAAGTCACATTCAGGTTTAGTTTTTTGGGGGGGAATATGCATCTGTGGTTGAAGATCAAAGGAGGTGACATTTTCCTAAGGTTGACAAAACCTTTTGAGTCCAGAAGCTTGGCCCAAGATGAAGTTATCACATGTTGGTGTCGAGCTAGTTTGTTTAAGTGGGGATCTTCCTCCTATAATATATATATATATTTCTGATGTTTGCAGAGCCCAGATCCAGGTAACATTTTCTCCCCTCAGAATAAAGAGCAGAACCAGGCAGGATCTGAGGCTAACCCCAATCACATCTCAGGATGGCTGCTGGGTGAGTGGGTAACTCATTAAAGCACTCAAAATATATACTTGTATATATTACTGAATAGGACATCTCCTATTAGCCCCTATAGCTAGTGACGTGTGGATTCAGGCACTAAACACTGAGTCTGGTCAATAAAACCATGTTGTTGTAATCTGGAATGAGCTGCATTTCTCACATAAAAGGGTTACAGGTGTTGTTTTCTTATCCAGTTTCTACCAAATGTGGCTCAAACTAAAGTTGGGAAAATTGAAGAGGTTATGGTGTAAAGAAAAAGCCATAAGCATTTTAGCAACAGTGCATTAATGGCATGACAGGGGCACCAATTACATGATAGAGATGCTGTTGGTTGTTTTTAAAGCTCAAGTTGTGGTTATTGTACAGTTTGTTGATGTTTGGTCTTGATGCAAAAATGTCTAAACTTAAGACTAATAAAGGCTTCCTTCCTTCCTTCCTTCCTTCCTTCCTTCCTTCCTTCCTTCCTTCCTTCCTTCCTTCCTTCCTTCCTTCCNTGTGTTTTGGTGTAGATTTCTACCAGCATTTTATATGTCCAGTTTTAATAATAGTAAGATATTAATAATAATATCGTATTACTATTTTTCTTTCTTTTTTTTGCCATGTACAACTTACTCTTTTTAAATGTAGTTTAGATGTTTAATATTTAATGAATGTTTTCATGAACACCACCCCTTTGAAGCTTGTTTTAATGTTTAGATTTATATGTGAAGTACAGTTCGGGCATTAAAAAAAACATACTAATAAAAAATAAATTTATTTTGATCTAAACCATTACTTTTTAGCTCTTGCAGAGAATTCAGTGTCCCGATTGAAGTTCCTCCTCCACCCCGTCTCTTCTGCATCTTCATAAACATTTTCCAACTAAATTAATTGCTATTTTCCACCACTGGCTGCTTTCATGGTTCAGAGTTGTATTTTTTATAACTGTTAGTTCAAGGTAATTTTTCAGCAGTTACAGCATTTGTCTTGTAGGTGAAGAAATTAAATTAGTCTAATTTGCCTGAATATATTTATTTATTCATTTCTCTCTTCCTTCCTTCCTTCCTTCCTTCCTTCCTTCCTTCCTTCCTTCCTTCCTTCCTTCCTGTGACAGGGAGTGAGCTGAGGCGTCGGGCTGAACAGCTTGGTGTCTCTGTGGGAGTGATGTCAGTAAAAACAGTTTTGGAGAGACTGACAGAGATCACTGATGGACAGGAAGAAATGGATGAGAACAGATGCAGAGAGATGCTTACATCCTCTCAAAGAGTGAGTCTCTGCCAGATGGATTTTAACCCACGGCTGCAAACTTCATCTACTCCACTTGTTGTTTTAGGCCCTGCAGATGTTTTAGTGAAGAACACAAACAAATTCTAAAAAAAAGAGACCCCTGGTGGCAGCTTGTTCTGCTGATCTCCTGTAGTTGTGGTGTTTTGTATTTTAAACCTATTGTGTTTATTCAGTCTTCTTTTAAATGTAACCTGTATAGAAATTGACTGAATTTAAACATGTTTTTTTAAGTTGATGTTGCATCAAAAAAAAAAAAAAATCAATGCACTCTTAAAAATGGTTCCTTCTGAGCTTTTTTTAAATCTGATTTTGTTCACAGCAGCGTTTGCCCTAGTGTTAATATTTTGTACACACTGAATATTTTTGTATGGTGCTTGTGTTGCAGATGTTTTGATAGATTCTGTCCTCTCCTTCTCCTTTGCAGATGCAGCTCCGTGTTCTGTTGGAGTCCACCAAAGAGCTGCTTTCTCAAGGAATCCTTTGCCCCAAACTGCTCTGGATGGAGCACAGACGAAACCAGGTGCTTAGACTCTCTGTATGAGGAATCCACTTCTTATTGCTGAGATGTTGTTCAATGATGAAATATAGATTCAGTCCTCATTGTTTTAGGATTTATTGAATTTTGTCTAGCTGAGATTGAAAAATACAACAAAAATCTAATGTTTTCTTCTGGGTTTGCTGGTCTTTTTTTCAATGAAACTTGAGGTATCTCAGAGAAAACTAAAACGAGCTCAGGTCATTACAGTATTAGAATATTTTAAGCTGGTAATCTTCCGTATTTTAACTCTATTTAAGGGATAGCTGAACAAAAGAATCTTAAACTTGGTAAACCTCAGCCGTAACCAAAATGTTTTTTTTCTGTTTTTCAGAAAAATCCCAAACTAGAGTTGATTTACCATCTTCACCTTTACAACATCCTTACATTGGACTCCATCATAGAGAGGTGATACCTTAATGCATCATTATGAAAGCCATTGATGTTTTTTTTTTTCCAGAAGGCTTTAGTCCCAATTTAATCATTGACATTTTTGTGTGTGTTCATCGTATAATGATGTCATAAGGCCAATAGCTGTCTGGATTCAGCAAAGCAGTTGGGAACTCTTTTTCTACCTGCGAAAGGTGAAGGAAAATGTGCCAGGAACAGGAAATAGGGTCTAAAATTTAGGGTATTTGGATCACGCTTTTCTGTGGCAGCTCCTAAGATGTGGAATTTGTATTGAAATCTGATTACCGGTAAATTGAAATTTGCGTACGAGTTTAGCTGGAGTTTTTT